AAATGCTCCTCTAAAAACAGACACTAGATGGGTCGAGTAACTAAGAAGTATCATAGTAAGTGTGAAAGGTCTGAAGCTCGGACTAATTAAAAAACTTCTTAGATAATTTTATAGCAGTGTCTAAAGATTTAACCTTAATTCTTAAATGAATCCCATATCCTTTAAAAAGGCAAAGCATACATCTGAGGATTGCTACATGTTTACCTTATGAAAGRGCAGATAGTAACAAAACTATCTAGAGATCATTTCTGAATTTTATGGTATCTGTTCCCTCACTGATGGTCTCCTAGAATCTAATCCTACACAGCCACYGGGAGCTTTGTCATAGCTTCTCAGAATACAAAATTAAGCCATTACATGTTATTGCATACTATTTCGAACATCTTTTTCTCCTTTTAATCCTGTAAAACTGAAGTTATTTCTAGACACTGGATAATTAATGTAAATGGTCACAGGTTGTTTTTTGAAAGATTATGGTATTTATTCTAAGCATATATCCTTCCATATCTTAACATTCTAGTCTGCATTCTTATACAATATGTATGAGATTAGTCAARCAGGCTTTTGTTGGTAAAGGTCTAAAGTCACAAGCAAAAGCATCTGCAGCTAGAGAAGTTTTACATTTAACTCTTACACCCACCACAGAAGAGCACCAGCCATMTGAAGCACACAAAAATATTGATAACTCACTGTCGAGCACTCAGCTATCATCTTATTTCCTCTCATCTTAAGTGCATAAGTGCATTATCTTTTCTTTTCATATAGTTCAACCCACTCTTCCCAGGCTAACAGTCCTTGCACTTCTCATTGCCTTGTATTTAACTTTCAGGTCTGCTGCTTTTTCAAATCTGGAAGAGAATGTGTGCAAGAAAGACTGTCTGATTAAAAACACATCACTCCTACACTTGCCTCACCTGAAATTAGTCTACATTACTCATTGATTTCAATCTTACTTCTACTCAGYGTAATTCACATTGTTCTGCTAGTAGACCAGTCTTTTCTCTTTACATGCTCTATACATATAGAAACAAACTCCTAAATTTGTCATTCAGAAGCATTCACTTCAGCAGATTTAATAGATCTTTTTGTCTCCACTCTCCAGTGAAGGGATTGCCCCAAGAAATTTCCCTCAAAAACTGTCCTGCCAGGTTTGCAAAAGAATAATGTATAGGTGCACATAAATAACTGATTCTGTTAGAATTAGTCAAAAGCAGAAGTTAAAAATCACAGGAAGCAACATCCATACTGACTAGTCTGAGCTACTGAAGATATTTGTGATAAACAAAGTGGGTATCTTAAATCATATCTAATATTTAAGAATATTATAAACATAAATAACTGCTAAAGAAAAATRCCTGTACCATAGTAAATTGCTCCTTGCAATGTAGAGTTCTTCTCACTCAGAACTGCAATCTCTTGGGTAATATTCAGATTTTTGTCTCATCTCAGTAGTACCACAAGGGAGATAATGTCTGACAAATACAATTTTTTTAATCTGTAACATTTTGGTAAATTAAAATAGTGATGAGCATATAAAGGAAAACTTCCTGTACTTCATTCTATATGACAAAATGTTTAAGTACACTGATCTTTTTTTAGCTAGACATAGATGATGTCTAATTTTTGATATTGTTCACCCAGAGAAATATAAAGCCAGCATATCTGATTGCCAGAAAACTTACATTCATATATTGCTTTATTTTGTTATGATAGAACTTTTTTACCCTTCCACACTGATTATTCTTTAGTAGTATTTCTGACTACAATTTTAAGATTTGAATCTTAAGATCAGAAAAACTCATCCATAAATGCATCAAAAGTGAAAGCTAATACTAAGTTCATCTAGACTTCAGATGCCTTTAGTTAAGCCTGTTGCTGGACATAGTTCAATGACACCAATATATGGTAGAAATTAAGTATTTCAATATAATTTTTAAGCTTTAAATAAGTCTGTAGCTTTGCAGATTATGATCTAAAATATACAGGGAGAAGGAGCAATTGTAGTGACTGCTATGATTATAAGGTTTGCCTCATGCAGGCTACATGAGACATTTCCCAGAAATGAAAGGAAAAGTAATAGGAGAGCTGTTAACACAGCCAAAATGCTTCTTCAGCATCCATCRTCCAAAATGTAGAAAGATAAAGTTTTTATAAAGACTGGCCACTTTCCAGGCAAATGATTCCTCTTCCAATCTAGTGAGAGCTGGTGCCCCAAAATATATATTTCTCTGTTCCAAGTGAATGAGAAATATAACATATCAGAGCTGAACACTATATAGGAAAAATGTCAAGCAATACAAGCTTGATCCACATCCAAGTCTATGAAGAATTTTTTAGACTCCAATGAGCTCTTTCTTAGCAGTTGCTGACATTGAAATAACTCRCAACACATTTTTGTACTCAACTGGTTCCTTTGAAGTATAGCACCCCTTTGGGGTTATCTCTACCACAGTATTTGAAGGTAAGAACTACTCTCAAGTCTTTGTCCTGATACAACTGAAGTCCGTCAAGAGCCCTCAAGATGCCAAATCATTGAAACTAAGAGCTTCTGGAAACACTCACCCCACATCTGGAACCCAAAGCCTCATGATAAAAAGCCCAGGTAWCTCATACAATGTATGGAGCAACTAACAACAAGATATAAAAACCATCAGAAAGCAAAGAGCAAATGTTAAAGGGAAACTGAAGGGAGCATCTTATTTTTCCCTAGGGACTTGGTACATAACTTCATACTGACTGGAATGTGATTCCCATTTAAGCACACCAGACAGCATCATTTATAGAGCTGTCTTAACTCCAGTTCTGAGTTGCAGAGCTCAGTCAGAATCAAGGCATTTGAACCAGTTCTCTTACAGATCTCACCTTATCACCTGTGTTTTCTGTTACACTAGCTTAGAAACAGTGGAAAAATAGCCTTTTTAAGRAATTGTTTTTATAACCACTCTGGATAGAAGTCTAGTGAATAACTCTGAAAGACTATATGCGCACACCRAACTAACCCCATGCCCAGCATTGTTCTTTAAATATTCTTCAGTATATTTTGATAGAACATATAAAGCTTATTTCTATTACCATGATTATTTGAAACAGAAAGCCTCTTGTCCAGTGTAAGGAACTAGGTTGCACATAGTCATCCTTTAAAAGGAAAGTTGAACATTACTCATTCCTATTATCTTTCTGAAGATGAATATACATGCAAATGGCTATCTTAGCACAAAACTGAAACTTTACCTTTTGCATAACTCCCAAATGTCTCCAAACTGACACTTCTACACTTCAGTGCKTGCAACTATACACAGTATGTAATAAAATGTGCTAACTCAAACCATTTCCTATTGTAAGCTGTGATTTCAGTTTGCCCTTTGTTGTCTCCAGAATTATGCTCTGCTTGATCTCAGGCCACAGGTGACTTTTTTGGCAGGAAGCCTGAAAGAAAACTCTGATACTTTTGGTTGTTTATAGCTTCATTCAAATTAACCCTTTAAAGGCCCCAAAATTAAAGTTTTCCTACTTTGAAGCCTCTGAAAAAAAGAAATTGAACATCAAAAACAGTTTTGCAGACTGATCAGTCTGATGTTCTTCAAACTTATCAGTGCAATAGCAGCAACATTTTCTGCCTCCCTGGTTGTCATGATTGTCAAGAGCAGTATATTCATACCCAGACTGATTCTTTAAATCATCTTAAATGATGAAGGTTCACAAGAACCTTCCTACTAATGGGGATTATATGAGCAAACAGCTATATCGCTTCCCAGGCTTTCTGGTACTATTGCCTGTACTTCAGAAAGCACAGGAGGGCTAGGAGTCTGGAGCCTGGATTAGCAGGGACATAAGTTTTTCATACCCACAATTCTTATTCTTCCAATTAAAAGTAGGAATCTCCTCTGACAAGATGTCCAGCCTACCAAGGATCCAGAAATGATACAGGTCCTGTTTGACAGGGCTTCCTATTCCTTCCTATTAGTAGACCAAGTAATTGAAAGGGTCCTTCATGACCTCTAGAAGTATCTTATAGACACAGTTTTATCAAAGCTTAGCCCCTGATTGTAGTAGGCAACATCCTGACCTTGATTACAAGTTTGAGTCCATTTATACTGAAATTGCACGTAGCTGTTATCTAATCTGGGCACTCTTCAATGCTGTCCATGCCATGAGGCAGAGTCTGCTGATATGTAGGCAGTCCAAAAGGTTAGCTCCTCAGAGGGCAACTCATTTGCTAGAGAGTTAGCACTGCAGAAAATATTTTTCTAACCCTTTTTCCTTTGTAGTCTGTCACAAGTCTCAAAGATATATAGAAATATTTGTCCTATGCAGACATGATCATTTTCTCTGGAATGAAATTTTTTCACGGCCTGAGAACTTTAGAGAAARCTGGAGTGATTTGGCTAGCTATGATTATATAAAACTTTCCCTAAAACTTCAATACACTACTGATCAAAACAATACTAATAGAAGCATCAATAACAGCTGCAAAATACACTGAGAAAAAGATAGATTCAGCTGATCAAATTAGTGTTATGCTAATTTTAAAAAATTTTGATGTAACACTCCCCTAGTATAAAAAGTGGAAAAGTCTTTTATATTGCATTATCAAAACCTGTGAAGTTCTTCCTTTTTGACTTCTAAAGTGATGTGCTCTTCATGCTTTTTTGCAGTTGCTGTTTTATCATCTTATTCAGTCACTGTACAAAAAGAAGAGTCAAAGCAACCTACTTGGAAATTAGTTTCTTGAAATTAAAGAATTTGAGCCCTGTTTTGAACATAAGAAAAAAATATTATTTATGAAAGTCAGATTGTAAGAACTTTTAGTACAAGAACTGCCTCAAAATAGCAAGACCAAAGTCTTCTGTTGGAAAAATCAAAGAACATTCCCAGCCTTCCATAAAATATCTAGAGCATTCACAAGAACTTCAAATTGAGGGGCAGGGCTTCCCCATAGCACCTGGGGAGATGAGCTTGAAGGTGTAGATGACCCCAGCACAGAGTATCCCCTTACTGACCAGGACAGTCTTGTAGCATCTGAGCTGCACAGACCCAGCCAGGCTCCCTTGAACAGGATCCACAGCAAGAGGATGGGCCAGGTCCAGGGTCCAAACAGCAGATCCAGCGAGGAGCAGTAGGAGGTAGGCTGAAGACAAGGTTACATCTTTGGTCCAAGGTCCAGGCCAGAAGACAGAACTGAGACAAACACAGCTCCACCATAGCTCAAACCAGGACTAAAGGCTCAGGCCTGAGTTTAAATACTGCCTCCAGCCAATGGGCAGAGAGTGTGTGGGCGGGGGAGCAGGTGATGCCACTCAGGTCCATTAAGACTAATTAAAACTTCATATGTTTTTGATCATTCCCTTGCACTGCACATTGTTTATCAGACTGAGTTTTGAGCTGCTCACTTAAAGCAAACAAATGCTACTGTGGGTCTTTCATATCTGGTAGAGGTTTGTACTTGCTCAGTAGTGGCATGAGGACCATACTGTGAGGTCTGTTGTGTAGAAGAGCCTCTCTGGGGTAATGGGACTTCACACAGTTGCTGGCCTGCTAGGTGCAGTCTTGTGGTTGGTGGTGATGACAGTGCTGCTGGTGCAGTTTCCTGCTCCGCTTTATGATGTCCATTTTCAAGGAAAATATTTCTGACTATCCTGTGCAGGCCAGACTTACCTAGGCTAACTTTAGAGACACAGCCGTGCGTGTGCAACTGTAGTGTGTGTCAGCTAAGATGTTGCCCTGCTAAAGGGCACAAGCTTTGCAATAGCTTTGCAGTCTCTTCAGACAGTTTTATTCCCTTAGTTTTAGTTTGGGTATCAGGCAGCTGGTTAAAAGCTGCATAGTTCAAACGCACTCTCAGCACGGCCCAGGCAAAGGTAAATACGGAGCAGGGGAGGAAGCAGAGGGGCTTGGACTGAAGTTTAGAGAAGGTGACAAAAAGGCATCATAAGGGTGTCCTGGGATTTCTTTTAAGTGTGATGAAGCTGACACTGATCTGTTGGGAACACAGCATCGTTAATTCCCCACTCACAAAACAGCTTGCTTTCCATGAAATGGCTTACGAAATATTCTCATCACAATTAACAATTAACTTTCAATTAGATATTGAAAGATTCTTCTTTCAGAAAATGTAGYCGTGCAAAGATAATTTTACTGAGGCCGATTAGCTTGTGGTGGAAATGCAAGCRAATTTAATGGTGCTATTCATTTGTGAGGCTGCAATAAGATATGCATTTTCTATAAATTCATGATAATCCTTCTTTCTATTAGTATCTTCCCTCTATCAAGATAAACAGCAAGAGTCAGAATGACAAATCTGGAGACTCTGACTCAGTGCGAATGAGAGCTGCAGCCAGTTATCTGCCGTAACCTTGCTGTGACATGTATTGTCACTCTCAGAGATACACAGATCCTGCTGGGTGCAGCGCTTCAGACACAGTCTGCTGAAATAAATGAGAAAAGTCTCCGTGGCTTTGGTTCAAGCCTGCTTTAACAGTGCTCTAGCCTTAAGGCTAAAGGAATTTTCCACTATTTCCTTGCTTTTGATAATATTAAAAGTGTGAAAGCAGAATGAGCAGACCATTGGATAGGAGTACTTTTTAATACCAGTAATGAAGTTGTTTTTTAAAATGGTAAGAGAAGTTAAATATAAAGACTGGAAAAGAAGTTGGGAAAATGAGAAGAATGTGTGTTTTCCTTTGACAGTTAATATCAAATAAAAAAGAAGCTGTAAGAGTTGCTGTATGATGCATACATTTTCATCTGTTCAAGTGTGATCTGAAAATAAAAGAATAAATTAACACAGTGCACAGCCAAAGAATTCATGAATCACCACTACTTACTGACCGGTTGTTATACTTAGCTGAGATAAACAGTGTGTAATTTCAATTTTCTCAGGAAATTTTTTAGGAGATTTAGAAGTATTAAAAAGGAAAAAACCCACAAAATGCTGTCATTAAATTGGTTATATATGGAATTAATTATGATGCCTAAATGACACAGCATGAATCTGCATGATTTCTGTATGGAAAAGAAAAATCAAATTTTCTCATATTAACATAACTGATATCTTTTTTTTTTTGTCTTGAATCCCTGTGTGAAAACAGATATTTTATAACTAAAATGCCTACATCCTTTCACAGCCTGCCCTTATTCTTCATTAGGTGTCATCATCAAACATTTTCTAACCTGAATAAACACGCTTTTGGGGAGCAATTTAAAAATTGCAGAGGAGGAATAAAATGGATCTTTTTTTTTAATAAATGTTATTTATATGTTATCCAAATATATTTAAAATGTATTTAAATTTATAAATATAAGTGATAAATGTTATTTCCCTAGCAAGGCCTGTATCAGATATATACTTTTAAAGATACTCATTGCTTAGGTCACTCCATTCCACTCCATTGTTTTCTCTAGGATCATATAGGATCATATAGAAATGTATTGCATAGAAACTTAGTGATGAATAAGAAGAAACATAATTTACAGGCATAATACTTTATGTCCTTATACCTTCTGCAGCCATACATAGTGAAATGAATGAAAGTTAAAAACCCACATGCTTTAGAAATCTCATTTGCCCAGTTTCTGTCCTAGTGCTGGCCCACTGCTGAGATGTGTTGCTGGATTTTTCCAACTTTATTTAAAATTTCGTATGTTAATATTTGAAGATAAACAATTTTTTCACTTAGTTTGCTCTTTTTTTTTTTTATCTGTGTGCAGAATTCTTCCTGCATAATGTTTAGTTGCACAGGAGATACCTGTAACTGGTACCTATAAGGTTATACCTGTGTATGTTTTAGGTCCCTTACGTTCAGTGAAACTCAGCAGCAATCAAAATATTTTCAAGAAATTCTCCGTCTAAAGGGTGTAGTGTCCTCTTTACTTCAGATTTTGTGATAATGTGTATCCCATTTGCCTTTTGTGGGCAAATAGTAGGTATTTGGTGGCCTGCCCCTTGTCTCACACCTGATGTGGTAACCTCCACCAGGATTCAAAGCTTTGCTGATTAAATTTCTTTCTGGGTAAGATTTATAAAACCTTATCTTTTACTGTTCTGTGTAGTCTGAAGCTTCACCACACTCCCACAGGATAGATGTTTTTCTTGAAGAGCAGCTCTAATAACATTTTCTGTACAATAAAAGCTCAGAGCACTTTCACAGAGGTCATCAGGCATCATTAGCTCCCTTTTACACACCGGAAAGTTACAGCACAGACATTAATGAGTTGTCTAAAACCTTACAAAGTGCAGAGACAGACCCTCTTTATTCCCATGAGGCTACCCTTAACTCTGAGAAGATATCTGTATGAATTCTGGTTTGCATCGGAGTTCACAGTAAACTGGACAGTTGAGTGGCTATGATAAAATGGTAAATTATGTGTATTATGTAGTGAAACTAATTACAGTAAAAATTGTTGTTGTGCAAGGAAAGAATCATTAATCTAGATTCAYCCATGCATTACACATGGATCGCATAATAAATCCATTTCCAATAGATGAGTGGTATTTAATGGAACTGTTGTACATTATACATAGCTTTGGGGAGGATGATGAGCAATTATGGTGGAATCCACAGGAATTTTGAGACAGAGAAAGAGAATAGTGGCAGCAGATGTTGCATCAAAATCGTATTGAATCAAATATGCTGCTCTGTGTAACAATGGTGAGGCTCATCACAGAAAAAGCTTTTTTGAACTCGTTAACAGGCAATATGYATCAGTACTAAATATTTATGTTAGTATGGAAGAGTGCTGAGTTTGTCCTCAGGTATTTGAACCATATTTATAAGATGCTTCATTTCAAGGAAAGAGGGAATGGGCAATKTTAAAACTGGCTAAGAGAATAGCTAAAATTTTAACCTTAGGTTTCTTCCCCTTTACTCTCTTTCTTTAATAAGCTTAAGGACATCATTCCAGAAGAATAAAATTTCTTTGGGCAGAAATCAACTGTCTTCTGCAATGAGTGAAAAGGGGACTTTTCTCAAAACCTCTCTGAGGCAAAATTTATTAGTGGTACTACTGCTCAGAGTGCTCCTCCAAACAAATTCTGTAGCTGTGCTGCACCATATTCCTTTGCAATGCATTGCCCTATTCTACAAGGGATCTGATTTTAATCTTCTCTACATCTCTGATTCCCAACCTCAGCTGACTGGTTTTATAACCCTGATAACCACAGGGCTCCGTGTTCAGGATGCTGGTAGTGGCCATTCATTTTTCATGCCACACTGGGCAGGTGACAAGGCAAACACAGGAGCATGTTCCAGGGCCCTCTCCCTCTCTTGCCTGAGTTACGGATTGTCCACCCAGTTAGTGTCACAGCACTGAGGGATTACACACCGTTTCCTTGGTCTACTGCAATCATCCTTAAGCGGTCCTGTAGTTCATCTATGTCCAAGAAAACCCCAGAAAGAACCCCTCAAATCACAGAGGACTGTAACCAGTGAGGGATGCTTGCTGCACTGCACCAGCTGCATTGCTAGTGGGGCTCTCGGCAGCAGCCTTGCCACAGAGAGGAAAAGCTTAGTTTGCACGGAGACAGGGATAGCCGACGTCCAGATCCTGCTCCAGCCTCGTACTGCTGCATGCTGCTGCTTGCACCGGTGTGGATATATCCAGGCTGTGCTGTGAATGACAAGAGCTCTCATAAAGAATTGATGGACTCTTCTTTCACAGTCATTTTAGAAGCAAAGTCTTGAGCACAGACTAAATCCTAGATTCAACCAGGGAAATGTAGGGGCACTACAGTGAATTCAAATTTGCTTTACTTGACTAAGCAGCTCCTTGCTGCCAAAGGGAACATACTAGAAAGGACTGCTCTGAAATTATTTACTCTTTACCTTGTGAATTCAATATTTAGGAAAATTATAACAGAAAGTCAAGCAAGGTTATGTACCATGTCATGGGACAGAATTTGATTTTGATTACAAAGTTTAATTCCAAGGCAGAGATTAAACAGTATTGTTACATTGATCTGTAAGTTTCTGTAAGCTTCACACATTTGTCCAAAATTTATGAAGATTTTACAATTCTGATGAAGATTTTACAATTCTGATAGCAATGACTACTGAGTTTAATGTGGAAGGGTTTTGTTCTGATGGAGTAGTTGCTTCCCTTATGCTGTCACCTGAAGACATGTCACTTTTTCTTGGAGAGAAAGGCAGAGGTTGCTAATGATAATGCAACCTGTGGGTCTACACAAGCT